GAGTGAGATTCAAATGCAGACCTGAGTCCTAAACATATGCCCCTCCTTCAGCACCGCCCATCCCTTTGACCTGGCAGTTGCCTCAAACATTACTTTGTGTGAGCTGCCCCTGACCCCCCACATCCCCGCTAAAGTTATCCCGTGGCTCTGGGGCCACCTGGGGTCCTCAATGCCCCGGTCAGGCACAGACTTTGGAGGCCCGTGGTGGTAAGAAGTCCAACTGGCCTCCATTACCACCCGGGCCCCTCCTCGCCATGGTGAACGGTGGGCTAGCTCAGCCCCACCGCCAGCCACTGGGCACTAGGATAGCCCAGACCCACCAGACTGGGGCATCTTTGTGGTGGTTTCTCTGAATGCTGGTGCAGCGTGGGGGGACGCCAAGGTTTGCTGTGATATATGGTGAAAACCGTGGCACTCCCACCAGGGGCTGTAATTCATAAGTTACAGGCAAGCTTCAAGACTAATAAATTTGGGAGGGAAGTATTAATGACTACACAGGGGCACCGTGAACTTGGCAGGCCCCAGAGCATGGAACTTTGCAGCCCAGGTTTTAAAAATGATTTGTGCTGGGGCAAGTCTAAACAGAAGCTGGTCGGCGTTAGTCTGGCTGTGATCCGTTGGCACCCACTCCCCCACTCAGCCACCCTCCCCAGCCACAAGGAGGAGATGCTGTCACCCCTCCCCAAGCTGCCGTGACTCATCCGCTTGTGTCTGCAGGTTAATCCCAGGGTGGCTGTGCACACGGTGGCCTCGGGGCCCCACTGGCCTGAAGGTCAGGGTTAGCAACAAACGCTGCCCTTTTCCCACTCCAGAGTGGCTCAGAGTGCCCCTGGCTTGTTCGTCCATAATTTCTAATGTCATGGGAATCCCTCCCTGGACACGCTCCTGGTCAGAGAGGTCAGCAAGGGGATGCCTGTCTCCCTGGCCATTCCAGGCTGTGGATCACAAGGACTTATGCCTCTCGCTAGCACCCCACGCTTCCGCCCTCTGCCTCCCAGGGCTAGCTGGCCACTGGTGGCTCTGGGGGTTGGCTGTGAAGTGGCGGATGGAAGAATGCAGCGTGCGAGGCTGGCTGCACAGGCTGGGCCAGGTGCAGGGCAGGTTTGCTTCCAGTGAGCTGGGAGGTGCCCGCCGGGATGTCACTGAGGAGATGAAAGAAAGCAGGGTGGGATTCCAGGGCTTCATGCGAGGGGCATTTGCAACTTGTTGGGGGCAAGCAGACTTTGCATCTCTACAGGAGGGCTGGGTTGGCCTTGTTCAGACACCTCCAGCTTCCAGGAGGTGGGTAGAGTCAGCACAGACCCCAGGCACCCTGGCTGGTGACACACAGTGGATCAAGTCTATGCTGCGTGGGTAACCAAAGGAACCCAGCTTTCTCCCTTCTGCTCTGCCTTCCTTCTCCTCCTGGAAGCTGCCTCGCTATGGGGATTGCAGAGGGAGGCAGAGCAGGACAGAGAGACAGGGACTCAGAGTCACGCCACTCCTAGAATGTCTGGGATTATTGTAAGGCGGCGTTTGTTTTCCACAGGACTTTGAACTGGTTCCTTCTGGTTCAAACCCCTGCTGGGAATTTGCATTTCACCCCAGATATACTGAATCAGAATCTACATTTTAACAAGATCCCCAGGTGATTCTTGGGTATAACAAATTTTGAGAACCACTGCTCTACTAGTGGTTCTCAGATTTGGTCCCTAACCAGCACCGTTAGCATCGCTGGGAGCTTGTTAGAGATGCAAATTCTCAGCAAGAGTTCAAAGCCCTGGGCTTCTGACCCTCCAAGCTCAGATTCTGGCTCCCTGTGGACCCAAACGTGGCATCAGGGGTCCAGAGTCTATAGGTCACTGGCTGACGGACAACAATGCCCATGCTGTCATCTCAAGAGCAATGACCCTGATGATAGGGACAGAGAGAGCCATTGCAGAAAAGTGTGGCTGCCCTGAAGTGCTCACCTGAGCACAGGTTTCTCAAAGAGGGCAGACCTGAAGAAAGAATGGCACTGAGCAGCTCCAAGCCCCAGGTGAGCTGCAGCCACAAAAGGGGACTTGAGCAACATGGAGCCCCCTCCCTACCGTGGGCAGAGCAAGGGGGGCTGTGGAGTAGGGGCAAGGCTGAGGTCAGGGAGCTGGGCAAGGTTGACACGGTACTAGTCTGATCTAGAGATACTGAAGGCTGAATGAGGAAGATGAAGAAGGGGACCGTTTCAAGACCTACTTAGGAAATAAAACTCACAGGAATTGGTGATAAGTTGTGAACTGGGGTCTATAAAGGTCCAGAAACCTGGAGTCAAGGCTGTAGCTGAACACAGAATGTTACAGTCTGCATGGGGGGACAAAAAGACAAGGATGGACTGCAGGGACAGAGAGCTCAGCAGGGTCTGGGTCAGCTGAGAGCTCAGGCCAGGCAGCCGCCACAAAGCTCAGGAGCCTTCTGGCTGCGTCACTGGGGGTCTCGGGTTCAGAACAACAGCGAGGGGTGGCCCTTGGTGCTCTGCCCTGGTCATGTATTTCCCCAAGAATTGTGTTCCGTTCTGATGTCACTCCGAGAAGGACCAGAACATTGGAGAGCTCAGGAAGGGGGCTGTACGGGGACAACCTGGAGAGCCTATCCCCTGAGGATCGGCTGTGGGAATGCAGGTGACAGTCCTTGGGGGAAAACACTGGAGGCTAGGTCCTCATCAGCCCGTCACTGAAAGGATGTCTTGACTGGGAGGGCACACACCAGACCTGTGCATAAAACTGTGGCCACGTGGGGAGGCGGATGCCAGAGGGCAGACCTCAGGGGGGCTAAGGGAGAGTTTACCTACAGGCAGAGCCATTTGAAGTAGGGTGCGCTGACCTGGGAGGTACTGAGCACCCAGTATTAGAGGGAGGTAAAGGGAGACTGCGCCTAGGCTGACAGAAGGGATTCGTGCAACAGCTAAAGGACTGGACTCAGAAGTCCCTCCCAGCCCCCAAATCCTATGTTTCTAAGACCTGAAGGTCACTCAAAAGGTCATAATAGCAACCCCCGACTCCTCACAAACTTCACCATGCCTTACAGCCTACAGAGCCTTCTCACGTCTACCGCTGCTCACACTTCCTGTGAGGCAGGCAGAGCTGCAGTTACGAGCCCATTTTACAGAAGGGAACACTGCAGCCTCAAGTCATCGTGCTGGGATGTGGCAGAGCCCCAGTCACTTGGCTCCAAACCCGCCCAGCCCACCTGGCTCTGTCCTTGCTGCCCTGACAAGGGGACACAGCACACCAAGAGGAAGTGGTCCCTCACTCAAGTTGGAGTTTTGGGGTCCCACATCCCAGTTCCAAGTCCAGTGCCACCATTTCCTGGCTATGACCCTGTGTGATGTTCTTAACCTCTTTGAGTCTGAGTTTCCTCCTCTATACAAGAGGAAGGAGGTGTGAGGATGAAGCGAGATCACAGTTGTAAAGAGCCTCACATGAAAAGGCTTGATGCACCTTAGTTCCCTTCACTTAATGTGAAGTGTGAACCTGGAAATCTGAATTACTGTTGTTAGATGCCATCAAGTCGATTTCAACTCATAGTGACCCCATGTGACAGAGTAGAATGCCCCAGAGTGTTGTCTAGGTTGTAACCTTTAAGGGAGCCAATCGCCAGGTCTTTTTCCATGGAGCCGCAGGGTGGGTTTGAACCACCAACCCTTCAGTTAGCAGCCAAGCACTTGACCGTTCCACCACCAGGGCTCCTTCTGAATTACTGTGGGAAGTCACTATTTAAAAAGATTTCTTGGTAAAGTGAAGAAGCTCCGTAACCATCATGTTAGTGATAACAGCACTTTCAGCTGCAGAAGTTAGGGCAGGGAGGACTCAGACATGAGCAGGAAAACGGCCTGGAGACAGGCCAGCATCCAGGGCTCAGATCCCTCCATCTGGCTATGGAGTCTCCAAGCTTAAGCTGATACTGGGCTTGAGCCTCCCTAAATCCACCCAGGAAGCTCCAAACCTAACATGGCTGTGTCACCAGGTGAGGGTGGTCACCTCCATTCACAAAACAATACTGTCTCACACCTGTGGGGCATTCTCACAGTTCTGGAGCCACTCTGAGCTTCCAAACAACGCTGTGAGGAAGGCTCAGCATTGCTCCCATTTAACAGCTGGCAAAACTGAGGCCCAGAAAGGTTAAAGCCCCAGTTCAAGGTCACACAGCTGCCTGATGGAAGAGTTGGGATTTGAATCTAGATACACACCCCTTCCATAGAGTATCCTACCGTGTGTTACAGCTGGTGCCCTGTCCCCTATCACCACCAGTGTCCCCATGTCCACTCCCATGACCGGTGTCCCCACCTCCACAAATACCACCACTGCATCCATTTGCTACCATCTCCAAGGCCGAGGCGGAGACTTGCTATCTGGGCCCTGGTAGGCCAAGCAGTCCAGCAGGAAAATCCCAGGCCTGGGCTGGAAACCTGGCTCTGTCCTTTATAAGTGATGTCACTTTGGACAACTTTACTTGGTCTCAGTCTCATTATCCATAAACTAGAAAAGTCGTACCTCACCTCCCCTGCTGAAGACAGGAAAGATCACGCATGCAAAGCATGTGTCCATGAGTTCAAGTCACTAAGATTATTTCTAGTCTTCTCATGGTAGATGGACTAAACGTTTCTCCAGGGGCACTGATCTGAGGGTGCCCCACTCCCCAAATTGAGCAGAGGAGGGGGACATACTCCACTTCCACGAAGCTGAGTCCCAGCCACCTGTGGGTAGAGGTCCTGGGGGTGAAGGGCTTGCCCATCATGGGACTCAGGAGACTGTGTGTCGGTGGGAATGGCAGTGGCCACCGGACTCGGCCCCTGCCCGGCTAGTGCGGCTCCCTGGGAGGGAGGCGAGCGTGCAGGTGGGGCGGCTCACCTTGGGAAGGCCGCAGCTCCTCCACGACGCTCTCGGCCACGGTCTCCTCGTCCCAGGTGCTGGCCTCCACCACCTTATAGCGGCTGCGGGGCTGGCTGAGCACGTGCGGGGCCTGCAGCGCTGCCTCGCGCTCCGCCGCCAGGTCCAGGTCCTGCTGTGCCAGGTGAGCCCGAAGCTGCCGGATCTCAAACTGCAAGAAGGAAAAGGGCCGTGGGTGGTGTGCTGCGGAAAGGAAGATGGGGTGCCACAAAAGGCAGACGGGGTGCTGCAGGTGGGTGGCCACCTGGAGTGCAGGCGTGGAGTGGGCATGGACCTGCAGCCCAACATCTGGGGCGCTCTGGAGCTCTACTGTTGACAGGTGGGGCAGAGCCAGGGGGGTGGGGAGGGGAGAGGAGTCAGCTGGGCACCCAAAGGCTGGGTGGTGGCTGCCTTAGAAATCTCCTAAGGCACTAATTGCAAGGGCCTCTTACATTTACGGAGTCTTTTCCAAGTAACCAAGTGTGTGCCTGTGTCTCAGATAATCTCGTAGTCCAGCTCCACTGTGCGGAAAAGATGGCCGTGAGAAGAAACACAGCTGTGGTTTGGGGGAAGGCCACTGGACGGGGAGTCAGAAAATCTGGATTTGAATCCTGGCTCTAGTACATCCCCCTGTGTGTGACTCCCAGGGGTGCTGGTCAAGTGAAAGCTTATCCAGGTGTCTTATACTGATGATAAATGGAAGGCAGGAACCCCAGACAACTCGGGTCAATATCACCAGTCCTGGGAGCCCAGCCTGGTGCCCGGTGCTGGCTGGTCCGACCCCCACTGGTTCATCTCTTTTCCAGCATTACCCATTTTCCTCTTTTACAAGGTATTCTGAGGGGTGGCAGATGGTATCCACTCAGCAGGACTGGATTTTAGTCCCAGCCCTGCGGCTTACTGGCCATGTGGCCATGGGTGAGTCCCTTCACCTCCCTGAACCTCAGTTTCCTGATCTAAAATGGGGGTTTTCACCCCATACGGCTCTTTGAATACTTGGGTACTTCATAAAGGCGTTGTAAAAAGCTGAACGAGTATTGGTTTTGGTTTATTTTTTGTCAGGGAATGCTGCTTAGAGAGGCTTCCAGATGCCTTTTGGGTTTGTGGCTGGGATGGCTGTTCCTGTTCTGGGGGGTCTTCCTTGGACATCTGGGCAAAAGCAAAATTTGGTTTGGGGATTGAAGGCCAGGCCCCAGAAGAGGAGCCTTGACTGCCACCTAGTGTTCTAGGCCCACAATGCATCCCTCTGCACACCCTCTCGGTCAAACCCCCAAGGCCTTGAATCACAGGGAGAGGTCCAGGGCCTGGGCTCCCCTACCCAGGAAGTTACCGACTTGTGAATGATGTCAAATCCATATCTCTAGTCCTGACCCCTCCCTGGAACGTCAGACTGACACCTCTACCTGCCTACCTGACAGCACCACGTGGTTGGTTCACAGGAGTCACAAACTCAACCTACTCAAAACAGGACTCTTCCCTGTCTCCCCAAACCTGCTCCCCCTTTATTTTCATCTCTGTATTTTAGCTAGAGCAAACAACGTAATCACTTCCCTTGCCTCCTTGCTTTCCTTCACTCCAACATCCAATCTGCCACCAAGTCCAGCTCCACCACCAAGACACACCCCAAGCTGCCCACTCCTCCCCATCTCACTGCTAGCTCTTCCCTAGATACCTGCAGTGGGTCCATCCCTCAATCATCCATTCTGCAACAGAGTCAGAGGGATTCTTCGCAAATCTAACTCAGATTGTGTCACCCCTTATCCACAAGCCTCAACGGCTTCCTACCTCACTTAGAAGAAAACCCAAACTCCTTAGCTTAGAAAGTGGGTGCCCCATCTAGCCCTACTTCCTGGCCAACGTCACCTCATCCTCCCCTTCTTCACCTCCTCCAATGACCTGGGCCTTCTCATTGTTCCTTAAACTCACTAAGCGTCTCAAGACCACTTCCCCTGCTCCCAGATCACATGACCAGTCCCCCTCACAGGGCCTTCCCTGACCCCCATCTAAGGTAATCACCCAGGCACTCTATCACAGCAGCCCAATAGAATTCTCTGCATGGCACTTTACTGCTTTCTGATGTTTTTGTTTATTTTAATGTTTTTATTAATTTTATTTTTATGAAAGTAAACGTACACAACTGAAGCATTCAATAACATTAGGGTGACCAGGCAGTACACTGACACTGGCCAACCTCTAAATGTCAGTGTCTACAGATTTTGTTTCTGGGACCACTGCATTTTTTCCAGAGAGTTCTTGCCTGGGGATATACCTCTGACTCCCTCTGTGCTGGGAACAGGGCAGGGGAAGGGGGCAGAAGGTCCCACTACTAAGGAAAGGATGTTCACTTTATCCTTGTTTACAGTCCTGCACCTCTCCAGGCCCCTGCCTAATCCAGTGTCCACATGCGGAGCCCTCTGGTTCAATTCCTCCAGAGGATAAACCTCTTGACTCTTGGAGGATGGGAGAGTGTGGTCTCCTGGCTGTGTAGGATTTGGAAAGAGGCCTAGGGAGTCCAACTTCCCCGTCTCCCCTTTCAGCTTCACATCTTACCCTTTCCTCCCAGACTCTGGAATTTTCAGGGAAGACTTACCCATTTCTCTCACCGTCCCCTCTGTAAGCACTTTGTTTATACGTTCTCCATTCTGCTTGACCAGTTATTACTTTCTTGTCTGCTCTCCGTTTCCCCCAAACCCACTGAAATCTCTTATCCTCTTTGTCCTGATGAGTTATTTCTTGTGTGTTTATGATTTTTTTTTTCTTTACTATCATTTTAGTGGAGTTTTGGGAAGGAGAATACATAAATATGTGTGGTCATTCCACCACTTTCTTTAAAGACTCTCTATTGGCTTACCTCTCCCTGACTCTAGTGGCATGCTGGTAAATAAATAAATAAATAAAAAGGTCCGGTTTGTATTATATGCTAGTTTCTGTGGTGTAAATACTCCCACCACGGCCAATTCCAAGCCACCAACATGATGTCATATGGAGTTGGGAAAAAATGTGCACAATGGGCTCTCATAAGCCAGTGAGAGCACCAGCACACCACTGCCACCTTCACCTCTCAACAGAATACAATCTGTGTAAGAGCAAGCAATGATTTCTGGAGCCCTGGTGGCATAGTGGTTAAGAGCTTGGCTGCTAACCAAAAGGTTGGCAGTTGGAATCCACCAGCCGCTCCTTGGAAACCCTATGGGGCAGTTCTACTCTGTCCTATAGGGTTGCTATGAGTCAGAATCAACTTGATGGCAATGGGCTTGGTATTTTTGCTATACAAGAGACACTAAAAAAAATATTGTTGAAGAAATGAACAAATGAATGAATGAAACCAGTTAGCTTTGCTCAATTCTGTGGTTTCAGACTGAGCCCTAACTCTAGTCCTGACTCTAGCCCAAAGCTGAGACAGATCGAGCCCTCACCCTGCTCACACACTGAGCCCCAACCTCAGTCTCAGATTCAGCTCTGACCCTGGGCTCAAATGGGGCTCAGACTCCGGCCCTCAAGCCACTCAGCACTCAAGTGGGACCTTAGATCTTAGGGCATGAGAAAGGCAGGCTGGCTCATTACAGGGTGGCCTCCTGTGCAGGGGGGATGATATAATCCGCCCTTCTGGGAGCAGGGTCTCAGAGGTCACAGAAGGCTCATGAGGCAACCCTCCAGAGCTCTGTGGGGGTTGGGAGCCCCTCCTGCCTGGGCTGACCAGAACTTCCCTTGGGCACACCCAGTCCACTTTCTCCAAGGCCGCTCATCAGGGCCTGGCAGGCCAGCTAATGGCCTCCCAGGCCTCTCTGAACGGATGCATTATTGATGACTTGTAATTGATATACATTGCTGCCCAGTGAGTGTCCCACTGGAATTCAGGCCAGACAGCCAGAGGCCAGTGCTTGCCCAGCCCCAAGCCCACATGCACACACCCAGAAGAAAGTTTTTCGCTAAAGATATGAACTCCAAGCATGTAGCAGTAGTTCTCCCACGCACTTCTTAATTCCTTCATTCCTTCCCTAAGAAGTCAGATAAAGCATGATGGGGGCCATGTTAAAATTCTGCTATGTGTATTGGAATGAAAATGCCTCCCCCAGCTTGGAGTAAGTCCTGGGAGGCCCCAGTGAGGGGGACCTTCTGCTGCACTGCAGGGAATCCATGAGAGTCACAGAGCTGACTCGGGGGTGGTACCAGTGGCAGAGGAGGCAAGGTGTATATGAGAAACAGGAGACCAGTATGTAAGATGGGCTAGGGACTGGCAGGCGCCACACCAGGTAGACCCTGTAGCCATGATAAGGTGTTAAGGACTCAGACTTTATGTAAAGAGCAAAAAGAAACCATTGAAATCTTTCAAACAGAGGGTGGCATGATGAAGGTAGTAGTACAGTGATTCAGATAAGCATTTTGGAAGGATTATGCTGGCTGCAGGGAGTGGCGCAGTGGTTAAAGTGCTCGGCTGCCAACCAACAGGTCGGTGGCTGGAACACACCAGTGGCTCTGTGGAATAAAGATGTGATAGTCTGCTTCTGTAAAGATTTACAGCCTTGAAAGCCCTATAGGGCAGTTCTGCTCTGTCCTGTAGAGTCGTTATGAGTTGGAATAGACTCGATGGCAGTGGATTTGGTTTGGTTTTAGTGCTGGCTGCAGAGTGGAGAATAGATTGGATGGGACCAGGGTGGGTATAGGAATACCAGATGGGAGGCTACTGCAGAAGTCCAGGTGAGAGATAAGCAGCATTTGCGCTAGGGTGGAGACAGTGGAGACAGAGATAAGAGGAAGGATGAGAGAATTATTTAGGAGGTAAAAGTGCCAGCATGTGAACACAGATTGGAATGGGAGTGATGAAGAGGGCTACCTGCTTTTAGGACAGATTTGTATAAGCTTCATACCCAGAGGACATGGGGTGGCCTGGATGCTCTCAGCTCTTACCCTGAGAAGGACCAATGGATTCCTTAGAGGGGAACTACAGGTGGGCTAAATGGCTTTCAGCTCTGTTCATTTGCTATGACCACCCAAGGGTTCTCAGGATGTTCTAGCCAAGGCCCTCTGAGTCTGGCTCCTGATTCCTCCCGTACTTAACATGGCCACGTGTGTTTCTCCGATAGACTGAAAGGTTGTCAAGGGGACCTAGGACATTAGGGCCTCATTAGTCAGATGGGTGAACTGAGAACCTGAGATGGGAAGAGAGTTGCC